TCCTTTCTAAAAGTTGGGGAGACTTCTTATACACATTTCAGAGTTTGGCTCACCAACACATAAAGCCACTGCAACCAACATTTGGCAAAGTCATGGAAGTCATTGGTTTAGGTTACCCAGACAGGAGCATTCTGGGAAATTTAAATTAATTACTTTGTCCTCTCTTCTTATCTTCTTATCATGCCAAGACAATAAAAGGTACCAACTCCTGTTGCTACTTGCCCGACATCCATTTCCTAGTTCAGTTATGGAGAACCTTTTAGAGACCAAGTGCCCAAACTGCAACCCAAAACCCACTTATTTATTGCAAAGTGCCAGGGCTGCATCAGCATTGTGGTGCTCTCAGGAGGAGCAGGGGGGGGTGTGGCCCACTCGGTGGATATGGCCACTGGGTGGGCATGACCACTGAGTGGGCATAGCTGCGGTGGTCACAGCAGACTGGGTGAGCGTGGCCGGGGCATCCCCAGGGGGCCAACGCCGCTTGCTCGCTCACTTCCTGCCCTGTCACTTCTAAACACCACACGCTCGCTGCTCTAGCGAACACTGCTGGGGTGACGGCGTGCATGCCCACAGAGAGGGCTCTAAGTGCCGCCTCTGGCGCACATGCCATAGGTTCGCCACCACTGTCCTAGTTGCTGGCGAATGTCTAGGGGACATGGGTCACACAGTCTGCCCCTCAAATTGTGACCCTGGTTCATTACATGATCTTTTCAACTAAAAAAATGGGGGAAAGAAGTTCTCTTCTTTTGAATAGAAAGCACAGAATGGGACAGCTTGCCACAGCCAACTCCCTGTGACCAACTCACCATAGCCAACTTGCTGCAGGACAACTTGCCATAGCCATCTTGCTGCAGGACACTCGGCACAGGAAAATTCAACAGTTCAATATAATTAAAAAATTTATTTCATTTTGTCCCTCCTTTTGCATCATTTTTTTTTTTAGTAATTCTATTTTACCATTTCTTCGAAATTAGTGTAACTCTTATCCCGCAGCTAGTTGATCCACGGCAAGTTGGCTGTGGCGAGTTGGCCGTGGCAAATTGTCCCAGACCCGAGAAAGCATGGGCTTCGTTAATTAAGTCATTTCTAATATGAACGAAGACAGGCAACACATCAACCGATCGCAACCTTGTCCCTGTAGCTCCAAATGTCTATGTGCCTGCTGGATCACTTGAGGTGAGGGGAAAGAAATTCTGCATATGGCAAAGTCTCCATTGCTTTATTGTATTGTTCATGTTGCAGATCTAGACTGAAAATAAATTCTTGGCTCACAGCCTGGATGTTCTAAGGAAACTCTGGGCATGGTTTTTAAATAGGAGGGGCATTTGTGGATGCTAACAACAAAACTTGCAATCAAAATAACTTTTGGCAGTAGGATAGTTTAGAAGTATGCTTTGAAATTCCTCAACCATTGGGGCAAGGGGAAAAGATGGCAGGGAGGGAGGGAGGGAGGGAGGGTGCTTCTAAAATCAACCAAGAGCATAAATCTTTGCCAGGGCTGACTTGTAAAAGAGGTTGCAAATGAACCTTAACAAATGGCCATGTAAAGATTGGCTGCTTTTCCTGCTCTCCCAAAAGGTTACAGTGAAGGGAAGGATTATCATTCTAATAATTTTCTCTACCCTCCATCCTGTGCTTGACCATTGAGGCATACCATAGAGTCATTTCAAAGATGGACAGGGGACCTGACACAATCCAGAGGATGGTGTAGCATCTGAGAACACGTGTGGCAGAAACAGTTGTCTTGGAAGCATTACTACATCAAATCCTCCCTGCAGGTGGAAGTTTTACCCACCAAAGGTGATGCTTGCCTAGTCTTCGTCTTTTTTGCAAGAGTTTCGTATGTGGGGAAGCCATGTGGTATACCACCATGGGGCATCTGAATGTGCTTCCATAATGTTAAACTCCATGCAGCTTTCTTTTAGTTGGAAAAAAAAAACCTCTTTGACCACTGAAGCACAGAAAGTATAGAAGACCAGATTTGAGATGTCAGGGAGAATCCATAAGTGAGAAAGGAAGTAATTCTTGCCAATGCAACTTCATGGAGGACCTGACAGGAAATTCACAGGAGGGGGCTAGCCAAGCTCAGAGAGACCACCTGCCTTCTTAGGCTGCCCGGCTTTTTTCTCTGCTCGATGTAACCCACATTTCTCCTGCAGCCAATGCTGCTTCCAAAACCTATAATTCTCTCCTTAAAAAAATTACTCCCTCTCCATCATATTTCTTTTCAGCACTGTTTCAAAAGTTACATCTCTTTAAAAGCTGCACATGGAACTTGCCTTCATCACACCTCAAAAACAAATTAAAAATGTCACCAAGTATCCATCATACATCATACACCACTTCCGAGAGCACATGGGCCAGGAAGCCCAAACCACTGTGGTGTTGTACGTTGTACACCAAGCACACATTTTCAGCTCAACACTTTCTTTATATGTGGAACTGCACATGGGATGCCATATTCACTTATGTGCAAAGAAACTAGTTGGTTGGAACCGATTCACAGCCCTTTCTCATCACTTACTAGTCAGCATTTAATAGTTTTTCAGAGAAATGTGAACTGTCTCCATCTGAAATTCTTCCACTTGCTTCAATTCCAATTGAAATAAACCTTCATTCACAAAATCATCAACTGAAGTGCATGTCCATGAAGATTCTGGCTCTGATTTTCAGAGAAATGCAGCTAGATCACCAATTTCCTCCCAGTTTGTGAAAATCACAGTCTGTGGCTTTGATTTTCCATACTATTCTCTTCCACTCTCAATGCTAGCCGCTTGATTTATTTTGACTTATATGTCTTTGACATCAATCACTTGTTCACAATATTCTGACCATCCCAGGACCAGAGAGCAAGTAACATGGTTTCCTGCTGTTGACAATGAGCTCCCATTCCAACATAAGATAAGCAATAAATAATCCAAGTGAAAATTAAATATAAGGCCAAATTGCACTTTGTGCAGATTTCCCTAATTCTATGTAGAATGAATTCAAAGTACTTATGAATAAAATGGCCAACTCATTCACCCCACTATATTTTTCTCCTTTTCCTAACTGCATGTTTGACAGGCCAACTTGTAAACATTAATTGACCTGTTCTAAATATCCCACAATTTTCATAGGGATTAGTCCTAATAAATGTAAATGTACTGCAGGCTCAATTTTAAAACATTTCCAAACTGCTTCTCTGTTTAAAAAGGAATGTTTAAAACAATGTTATGATTATTTCAGAATAACTGTAGGGACATTTTAAAGAGAATGTTCTCAGTTCCCTACAAGATTTATCAAGTAGTTGTCTGGGCACTCCAATAAAGGGACTGTGACATTTCCTTTATGTATAAGCAAGTATCTGTCAGATGAGATGTATTAATCACATACCATTCAGAAATGTTGTAAATAGGAGACTGCCAATATTGTTGTAACAACACTTCATTAAAGTAAATCTGAATTCTAACAAAACTAAGAATAACTTTACCACTTGCGAAATTTTTCAATAGACTTTTAAAAAAAATAATAATTTGAGAGTAGTTACTTCTATGCAAAACTTCCTTCAATGAAGAATGAACTATTCAAACTCATTGTGAATTCTAGTGTTTTTCCATTATTCCTTCAAGCATATGCTAGTATCTATTATTAGCCTCCATCTAGCAGGAGACCTTATCTCCAGATATCAATGAACTACAACATCCTGGCTGATAGTGATGGATGCAATGAACTGTACTTCACCAACATCTGGAGTTCTATAGGTTCCTAACCTATTTCAAACAGATGCACAACCTGGAATGTAGGTAATTCCAGCAAGTCTCATGAACCTTTGCAAACACCCATTCAGATATGACATTAATTCTAAAGGTGAGATGGCAGCTCTCATGTAATGTATAGAAATATGGAGAGCCATTTCTTCACATCAATATGGCAGCATTTGTGTAAGTAATTGCATGGGTATAACCAAAGCCTGGTTCCTTTACATGCAAATACTGGTTGGATCCTCTAGAGAGCTACAACTGATAGCAAGTGGCTTTACTTACGTGGTTCTTGGGAAAAACATTCTCCAAGTAACACAGGGAATTGTCTCAGTTTGAGGACTTCCCTCCTTGCTCCAAATAACATTATGGGACAACTTTAGTGTAAGGCTTCATACTAATCCAGGATATTTATTTTTATGTAAATATGTCCAGATAGTATACCAGAACAGAAAACTTGAATCTGTGCTGGCTCTCTTCATCTTACCAGCCTTGCTATATTGAATCAGAAGTTCTAAAATGGTTAGCTCTTTGTATGCATCTGAATGAGAATCTCCCTGCAGGAGGTAGCAAATTCTGTGTATTGCAACCCCTCCTCAAATAATAAATAAATTTGCATGGCCGTCTCCACTAATGAACTCACTGTTCATTAGGTTCTGGCTGGGCAAGAAATGAGCATATTACTTAATTTTAACAATAGCTCTTAAACTTATACACTGCTTCACAGTGCTTTACAGCCCTCTCTAAGCTGTGTACAGAATCAGAATATTGCCCCCAACAATCTGGATCCTCATTTTACTGACTTTGGAAGGATGGAAGGCTGAGTCAACCTTCAGCAGGTCAGGATTGAAATCCTGACAGTGGGCAGAGTTTGCCTGCAATACTGCATTCTAACCACTGCACCATACCACGGCTCTCTCTAACAATTGCATTTTAATCTGTATATCATGAGCTGTTTTCAAACATTGTGATACTGCAGCTGCTCACTGAAAGTGTGTGCAGGCAAAACAAGGAGAAATACTGAGAGTGAGTTTTGACAACACTCAACACTGGTGAACATGAGTCAAAACTCTGAAGGAGATAAGGGCGAGAACCTGGAAGAGCAAGGAGCATGTCCAGTCTCCCATTCCCTGCACTGAATCAGGTTTCTCTCCAGTACTTAACACATATTCACAACCTGAATGGGAAAGGCTCCATGTGGCACATATATGGAACTCCTCACCAATGGTGCCAAAAAGTCAAAGGATCTCTTAACTTTACCTGGCCTGGCTGTATTTTGCATGCAGTTTTGGGAAACCATAGTTGGGTGGACCGATGTGGATGCTCTGTTGCTGAGGTCCATGACAGATGGTGAGGCTGAGGTAGGTTGCTGAAGAGCTGGTTGATGAGGGCTGTGGTTGTGCTGGGCTGGACTGGGAGGGATGCCATTCTCTGAGAGAAATTCTTCCAGGTCCATGTATTCCAACTGGAAAGTGTCACCATCATAGGGAAGTGTCTTGTCCCATAACGTAGGCCCCAGAAAAGCAGACTGTGGGACAGTGGCGCTGGTACTGTCGTCATCCAGTTTTTTGTCTTTGTCTTTTTCTTTATAAAATGCTAGAAAAGGAAGGGGAAGGCAAAGAAACGTGAGGAATTTTCAGCTAGTTTCTTGCTAGGAAGAAAATAAAAGAGAATCCTTTCATAGTTATTCTCCATTTGGGGTTCTATGTTTGGAACAGAGTTAAAGTCTCTCGATACATTTTTCGGCTCATTAAGCCCATGTATGCTTTCCACCTCTGCTTTTAACTTGCAATTCATCTGCATCTTGCCTTCAAGCAATTGCAAGCTTCAAACAACAACACTCTGAGATTTCATCAGAGTATTTGAATCACCAGAATGGAGAACTGGAGAAATTGTTCCAATGGGTATAGTGGAATATATTTCCCCGATCAAATCCTACAGAACTGGAGCTATTCATAATGGTAGAGTTTACATATCTTTGTTTAAGCCATGGTTTATTAAAACATGGTTTCATTTAAGCCATCACTAACTGGTATTGTATAGCACAATCACCCATCAACCAGAGTTTACTAACCACGATGGCTGTGCTTGTATACATTACACAGAATCCAAATAGTAAAAATAAGATGATGGCTTCTGCAATGTATGTAATCAATTACTATTTTGAATAGGTTAAAGAACAGAATACACATTGTGTTTGTAACGCATTGCTAATTTGCTTCAAATCAATTTTGAAGGGCAACATACCACATTTTAAATAAAAATAAATAATATGAAGAACACCACAGCTGATTTAGTTAAATGTTTTTTTAAAACCCAAATTACCTCCTAGGTGAACATTCATGCTAGTTAGGAATTCTGGAAATGCTATCTTAGTAAAATAGCCTAATTTAGTCTAATCTTCATCATTTGCTACTTAGAAATTGAACCCAAATTCATAATGAGAAGCTATAAAACAAGCCAAACATTACCCAGGGGAGTCACAATTGCATTTCTCAAGATTGGTTAAAAATAAACTTGCAGCAGCAACAGAGAGGCTGGAAATATTAAGCCCCTTTTTAGCTCCTTCCTACATCCATTTCCAGATTTGTATCTCCCCTTTCTTCTACTCCTATGCCCAGGATTGTTTTGAAATGCACGCTTGTTTTGAAGCCAAGAATCAGAACTTTTTGTACACTGTGTAGGAAATTGCAAAATTAATTGTAATCCCCCCTCCCCCTTGTTGGATTTTTCTTACAGCAAAGTAGCAATAAAATAGTAATTTCAGATCTTTGTGCAACTTGTAGTTTGTTCTTTTTTATCCACTGGATTTAACTTATTATGCTGACAAATAGCTATTGGCAGCTACTTCCTAAATTTGTAAGCATTTAATGCATTTCTCAGCAACTGGTCATCCTCTTCAAATATATTTGAACATTTACCGTCCATAAATCCAATCTTTCAGCACTGGAAATATTTCAAGTTGCTATCATGATCTAAAAGAACTACCTCAAAAACTTTTTTCAAAATGATACATTACATCAACATAATTAATCTGGATATCCTATTCTTGTGTTTGATTTGTTTTTATAATGGAAAAATGTATGTATTGGTTCATAGTAAACAGGAGTGAGGTGAGTCTAAGCTACACTGCACAGGTATTAAAGTGTAGGTGATAGAGAATATTATCTAGAAAATCATAGAGAATTGTTAAACGCTGTACAATACTTAGCTATAATTGACTTTTAACTGCATTGGAGTTTCAGCTTTATTAGAAATAATTCAAGATTTATATTTTATTCTTCTGAAACTTTCAATCAGAGGTTGAATTAGGTTTTACTAGTACCTTTGGGGGGAAAACATGTTGCAAGAAATACGGTAAAATTTCTGATTCATAGTATAGTATAGGCTTTAAGTAGTCTGTGTGTATTGTGGGGGGGGGAGCTGTGTGTACACATTTATGGATAAATCTATGCCCATGTCATGCAGAGAAAAGCTGTACCGGGAGGGCCTCCAGTTCAAGGCACACATTTTCTTCAAAATCACCTCCACAGAAATAAAATGCTATGACTTTTAAATCAAACAAGGGCAAGAGTTGATAGATTATGTAAAACCACATTGCAATCCCAATTTACCTGAGAGAAATCCCACTAAAAAGGAGGATTCACTTCACAGAAGTGCACCATACAAACACTCTGACAAGAATTCTCTGTTTTATGACTTCTTGACAAATGGTATCAGAAAGCACCTGACCCAAAAGAGCAGATCCAATCTACCACCGACCTTGCCAACCAAAATAAACTATACAGTTAAAGTAGGCTCACTTTTAACATTACACTATAAACAAACTGCACACGCTAATTTTGGAATAAAGAGCAAGAAGCTATGCAGCCGTTTTTAGGCATACTTACTTGAGGGTAAGCCCAGCGTATTGAGTAGGACTTATCTCCGACTAACATACAGAGGCAAAAAAGGCAGGATTAGAAGGAATCGTTGCTACCTCTTGGGTAATCCTAGGCGTGTTTACATGGAAATCAATCCTACTTGATTCAGTAGAACCGATTCCCAAGCATCTTAAGACTGCACTGCAGCCTCCGCAAGCCGAAACAAAAAATGCGCGCTTCAGATTGCGCGACTTCTCCGCGTCCCGTCTCGACGCGCAAAGCCCTATTTCCAAGCAACGCCAGGCTAGACACGCGCCTCTGTTCGCACGGCTCGATCGCCGCTTTCAGTGAAAGTTGCGCACGGCTACATCAACCCGCAGGACATAAAGCGGGGCGGAGGGGTGGGGGCAATAGGGAAACCCACTGCCACACTCCTCCTTCCCCTGTTCCACTCCCCCCACCCCTCCATCTCTCACCATCTTCGTGATGCAGCGGCAGCTTGAGCGGGTTTTCCAGCAGGGATTTCAGCACCCCATAAGTTGGAGGTAGGAAAGCTGGGTTCAAAGGAACAGGTCGAGCCATACCTCTTTCGCCCCTTCACTCCGCCAATTTGGCTAAACTAGCAAAGAAGAAGAAGAAGAAACGGGGAGGATGGGGAAAAAAAATTCCCAAATCGATCTTCTGTTTGGAAAAGAGCGCTCTCGTCCTGGGGCGAAGGGAGAGTTGGCTTCAGACGACCTCGCTCCAAGGGTGTCTTTTTGCATCAATAACCGCAAACTAAACGGAGGAGTTGAGAGAGAGAGAGAGAGAGAGAGAGAGAGAGAGAGAGAGAGAGAGAGAGAGAGGAAAGGAAAAAAAAAAAAAAAAGAGGTAACCCTACCGGCCAGGCAGCCAAGCGGCGCTTTCTAGCTCGCTCGCTCGCTCCTCCCAGTCCAGAGAGCTGGCTGGGGCCACCTGCGCCGCTCTCAGAACATTTGCACACCCATGTGCGGACACGGATCAAAATGACGTCAAAGTTAGCGCAGCTCCCCGGTAGGCGGGCCCGGGAGATGCTCACGAGCTCTGGGCCCTCATAATTAAACTTTGGGTTTCCGCCGCCGCCTCGGCTGCTTTTCATTCCATTGCTTTTGCTCGCTCTCCCCGGCTGTGGAGAAAAATGTTGGGAGGCAAAGCTAAAGGCGGGTTTCTGCTGAGGAGGAGGAGGATCTGCGTTCAGGAAAGTCTTTCGTGTTTCGCTGTGTGGGAATTTTTTTTTAATCTATGAACAAAAATAAAATGAAAACAAAGTCTGTGATAACTTTAAAACCAACGCTTTAAAAAAAAATAATTCAAAATGTTTTGCTACTACTCGGATTTTAGGGTGGAACCCATTTACGGAAACCCAACAAAACTGAAGGCTGCAGCCAAAACCTTAGAAAGCCAAATTTGATTCATTCACGTACTCCTTTCTATTTAAAAGCCAGGATAAATGTTTAAAAAATGAATTTGTTGACCACCCAAGGGATAGCAGAGCCTGCCAATTCTCTAGGGAGGACATTCTGTTCTGCTCCTAATACAGAAGCCACCATCACTGAAAATGTGTTTTATTTGCCTAATTTTCTAGGTTCATACAAAGTCACCTAGGATGCAGGCTTCAGTTTTGATCTCTAAAGGTGCTGTGGAAAGCAGGAATTTGCATCCAAAGCACCTGCCTGCAACATCTACTTAGTGGATGGGAGACCACCAGGAGATTTCAAGACTTTGGGGTAGGTTGAGAGAAAAAACCATCCTGTAAGAAGGCAACTGCAAGCTACTTCCATATCCTGTCAAGGAAACTATATAGATCTATCCATGAATCACCAAGGATTGAGTTCAGTTCAGAGGCTTGATTTTATCTTGTACAAACCCAGCCATTGTGGTTAATTGCTGTTTCGTGAGGAATGCAACTCCATAGTTAACTGAGTAAGCCATGATTCTATTAACCATAGGTTAATGTCCTCAGCCATCTCAGACAGTGAAAACCCTTAGAGAGTGCCAGAAGGCATTACTTTAGCTATTTCCTTCCTAAATATTTTGGACCTGAAAGGACAAAACCAGCCCTCTGAATTGGAATTTAAGACTTTTCTAAATTGATGCCACACAAGTGAAGCAGCTAGTGACTAGCTTACTTTGCATGCAAGAAGCAACCACATGTTCTTCACTGTGGGAAACTGGTTTGTTTTATATATATATATATATATATATATATATATATATACTGTAGGCGTTTTTATTGCAGCAAGCTAACCTGGGAATTTTAGTGAGGCCATTTTAAAAAAGAAGAGGGTGGTACTTCCTTTCGGGCTGAATGTTTTTGGAGGCAGCACACAGTACTTGGAACTCCCCCCCCCCCACTCTAAAGACAGACTTGTCAGCCGTTAATCTTTATACCCGCTCACGTGGTATTTGTGCTTCAGGACTGGTATCAAATACTTGCTTAAATAAACTTCAGACAAAAGGAGGGCTTGATATTTTCTTTTGCTGAGAGCAACTTGCTGAATCTCTCTCCTGCCTAATGTATCGCAATCAGGTTCCACCAGATTTCCCTGTCAAAATTCTCACCTCTCCATTCTCTGGTCAGGTGTTTTCTTAACTTACAAAAAACTAAGTGGGGCAGAATTCAAGAAGCCAATGTATGGGTTGAACTATTCAGTGGGACTCTATCCAATGAGAAAGTGCCCCCAAAAGCTAGTAAACACTCATCTTTTCCCACACTCCATTTACAATGTGGTAGGTTTTGTGAGGTCCTATTATCAGATTCACTTTGAAACTTCCCGAAATCTTCTTCATTTTATTCAAATTCCATTGCAATCTGCAACATTCTGTCCTGGCTCCATCTCTAAAAAAAAAACTTCAAGTGTCCAATTCCCCAATATGCTTACAGAATATTTTCTAACCCTCCAAATGGGCTGGGACTACATTCCCTCAAAGCCATGGCCTTCACTCAAACTTTTCAGCCTCAGGAAACAAAAAGTCCCTGTGTGGATGCTAAACGTGGACTGGAACTCCAGTAAAAGTATTGTGGATTATGGGATATAGTTTTATTTTATGGTAGGGAGCCACTCTGGCTGGAATCAATAGTCCAACTGGTCCAACCAATCCTTTGAACTGTACAGTGATCCACAATAACAACCTACCTTGCTCACATGGGCCAGATTTACACTTTATATATGCTTTGCGTTTACCATGGATTGTGGAATAAACCACAATAATGGTTCCCCGTCATTTCAGACCCAGCCTGAAACATGGGTCTGGGACGTGTAGGACTACAGCGATGACGTGTCAGGACATCCCTTCCTAAATGACATTATGCATTGTATGTAATTTGTATCATGATGTGACTAATGCATATTACATAATTTGCATCGCTCCTTGCAATGATGTTACAATGTTTCATGGTTTCAACCAGGAGTGGTCAGTGAGAACAACCTGTTGCTGGGGACCCAAATTAAAATTCTTAACAAGTAGCTGTCTCGTCTTCGTTTTAGTACAGTGCATTTCAAAGTTGGCAACATTAAGCTCCCAGAATTCCCCAGACAGCATCCACAGGAGGCAGCAAAGGGAAGGAAATGACAAGAGATGCATTGTAAAGTGATGGTGCAAATATGACTGCTACATTATTCGGATCTAAGTATGAATGATAGGTTTTTGTCTCATGACATCACAAAGCACATTTCGTCATCGGTGCCTCATGGGTTTACACTGGATATCAGTGATCAGTTCCATAATATACTAAATCACATTCAAATAGTCCTCATGATGGGTTACCATAGACAGCCCAAGAACTGAGATAAAAGGAATATAACAAAATGATAGCTGATCCTAAGGCAGTGCCAACACTACCTGAATACAGTAGACCATGTAGTATTCTCCATTTGGCTAGTATCGCCCTCCTTCATTCTGATCATAGCTATGGAGCACTCTGACAGCCCCTTCTGTGCTCACTGAATGCTATGGCCTTCACAGGGTTCCAGAGACACTGTACACACTTCTGGGTTCATACCTCCACAGCTTAGGGCTAACCATAGTGTGGTTTGTTTGCATTTGCTTTAAGGCACCCTTAGGTGTGCAAAGTCACATCCTCAGGTGTGAAGGGGACTCTACAAGTTACTAATGTTTGAAGCTCTCCCCTCCCCCGAATTTAGTACAATATGCAATCCTAGCCCAGTGATGGCAAAACCTATCATATGTATGTCAGTGATGACATGCTGTCGTTCACACTATCCGACAACAATTATTCACCATTCTTGCATGATTTTGGGGAGGCTGTGGAGGACCCGTGAGAATGGGTGTGCTCTTGTGTGGCCTCCAGACACTCCGAAAATTTGTTTTACCTGTAGTTTATGGTTTAACGATTTGATGCCTATTTATATAATACATATTATTAGGCTGTATATTTTAAAAAAACAAATGAATATGTGAAGAATTGTTTGCTTTTGTTCGGGGCGGGGGGGGGAGGGAGCGATATGCCAGCAGAATCAAGTCAGGCATTTTCCAAATTTTTGACATGCTGAACCCAAAAAGTTTGCCATCGCCGTCCTAGCCAATGGCAGGAATGGCAGAAATTGTTCTAGGACAAGCTGCCCGATGTCTCAGCCACTGCATCGTTTTTTCTTGGTGCCTCCATTTCATGGACAATACAGGAAAAATGTGTGATACTGTCGCTGACAGATAGCGGGAGTTTTCAAGGGTGCTGGGGGAAGATTTGCACGGTTGCTAAGTTAGCTCTGCAGCTATAACAGAACTCTGTAGCAGCTTCTCCTGAGATACTAGGCATGTAGAGTACAACATTTGCATTATCCTAATGTCAAATCTGGCTTATCTACCTAGGCAGTGGGATCATAGGTTCAACTTGCTCATCTCTAAAGTGACTGACAGTTTTTATCCTTCCCCTTCTTCTATTGCAGCTGACATAGCAGCTCATCTCTCTTTATTTGTGAGCATCTAAGATTTTTAAAAAATCTTGGGGGAAACAAAACGTTACAGATTTTTTTTTTAAATGGATGAAACCATTAGCATTTGCTCTACTTTTTGTCATTTATGCATGAAATCAATAGCACTTTGTCTCTCTTTAAGAAAACAAGTAAGTCAGATTTTGCTGAATGTTTGAGTCCTTGGAAAACCACACATGTAGGGTTGTTGTTCTTTTTTTTGTCCTCAAAAACTAAACTATGAAGAGAGGAAAGTAATCTGCCCCACAGAAAACTACTCTGTGCAAAATAATATCTCAGAAGCTATTGATGACCCTTGAGCAGAAGTACTTGACGGATTAATTGGAAAGGTTGGGCATAATAAGGGGACAGTTGGTTCCAAATTACCTGCCCAAGAAATAACCATGAGAATAAATATTTTTAAGTGGGGAGGAAGGAACAACTACTTGTACACAATCCATGGCATATGAAAAAAAAAATCCAATCCAAATTGCTGGTTATTGGACACCGGGTTACATAAACCCAGGGAGATCATTGACAGGAGTAAGGGCAATATCTGGCATGGGTAGACTGGGGATCAAGTGATGCATAATGCATTTCTGTTTGATATGCGCTTAAATAAATATGGGAAGAAATCTTAATGAGAATTAAGGCTAAGAGTGAAAGAAAATAAATAGAAACATAATCTCTGGGATGAATAGAGAATCTGAGAAATGCTGATAAACAATATTAATCTCTGATTAGGATTAGAAAAAGGAAACCTTGAGAAGGAAGGAAGGGCAGGACAGCTGTACTTTCTTCAGGACCCTTTCCAGCAGAAAGCAAAACACACAGCAGAATATTAATATGTGCAATATGATATTTTGCTAAACAGGAAAAGGAGGCAGACTTTG